GGCTCAAAATTTAGTTTAAATCTACGTGGGGTACTATAAGACAGGCGCCCACTTCTGTGTATGAGTACAGTTCTCTAGAAGGCGATCATCTGAGCGTAGGTACAGTGGGTGTTTTTGTAGAAGATGCCCTCAGAGATGCTTGTTTTTCCTTTGGCACAGATGTTAACGTCACCTCCACTCCAGTCACAGCATCCTACCATGGCTGTATGACGGTGAAGATGAGGAGCAAGGCGCTGGACTTGGATGAGGCTCTGTACAAGCACAGCGACATCACATCCCACTCTTGCCCTCCAGTTGAGGCAGGTCCATAGGTACCACTGCAATGTGAAAGTTTTGTACTCAGAAACTTTCAATGCTTTTTTTTTTTTAAGATATAAATTATTCAGACCTACCGCACTGCGTGTATAGTTTCTCTTTAAACACTGAAGTTATGTAGGAGCTACTGATCCTTATGTCAGATTGATTATTGAAATACTCCTTTGCTTTGAGGTCTAAAGGTTGTAATATATTTGTAAATAGTTCGGAAGAATAATATTAAGTAAGGCAAAAGTACAGAATATGCTTAAAGTGAATGTTATGTTTAGACTATAAGAGACAGTTTTATCTGAAATTCGGAAAACCTGGTAATATATGAATGTGGACTGGAAGAAAAATAATAATTCTGTATTATTTTTATTACCAACACTGCTTTCTGATTTGCAAAATATGAGAGAATAAAATATTTACATACAAGTTCTTAATTTACCTGTACTCCAGTTATTCTGTACTCTGCTCTTTGGCAGTGGTATCTCAGGCTATGCCTGATGTGAAGATGAAACTAGTGAGTCTTTCTGTTTCATTTTGGGTTTGTTTGTAGATCAGGGATTATATGCTTATGTCAGTATTCCATGGGCTGTAGAGCAAATGGTTGCTGCTATTGTTATTGCTGCAGCTCTGGTACTGCAGATCGAAGACTCAGTTGTGACCTTTAGAAAAATTCTGGTCAGCAGAGAATGGGAAACAAAACTGGGTCAGCAGGAAACAGAAGGAAAGGTTCCATAAGCTGAAAGCCATATGGCTTTTCTGTCAGTAACCACTGAAGCTAATGATGAGGTGTCAAGAACTGGGAATATTATGTGGTGATGACATTTTTTTTGCTGCTTGATTTTTAGGTTGGCTCATTCACTGTGAGTGTAATGGGAGCACAGAGGCTTGTGATTGTAAGAGCTCGCCAGGCCAAATTGCAGTGCAGTGAGGATATGCTTGTGGGTTTGCTCAGAAGAAGCTGTAGCACCATGAAGTGCATTTAATTTTTAAGCTGTCCTTGTGCAGTTGGGGCAGGCTTTGCCTCCCCTGCCTCGACACGCTTAAATCTTGATTTATTTGGTCCTTGTCTTCCATCAGGTTAGATTAACAAACTGAGACTGAGAGAGAGATGCTGTGGTGGAAATCCAAATACTGGAGGCTAAGGTGACCGAGAGGTCATGGATTAGTCTAATAATCTGCACATGACAACATTTGTGACCAATATATGGAGACACACGGCAGCCCCAGAGGAAAAGATGGAGGAGGGTGAAGACTATCCCAAACTTTTACTAGTGTTCTGCCTTATTTAACAGAGGAAAGAATTCTCTTAGCCAATAGGCAGCATGACATCACAGCTCCATATCATGGTTGAGTAAAGCAGCAATGATGGAATAGGGCAGAAAGACAAGAGCTTTATCACTTCCAGCTAACCTACTCTTTTACACTCAGAAAAAGACCTGTCAAAAGTCCTGCTTATGCTCAGGTATGACCAGATGCCAGTCTGAAAGGATAATTGCTAACTAGACAGCAATAACAGACAGATTTGCTGGCAGACTGTGCATGGGTAGTAAAACACAGAAGCAGTCCTGTGCCTTTGCTTTTTGTTGCTAAGCAAGAGAAAGCAAGTTATTCCCAAGAGTGCTTTCTGCTACAGTCAGTGATTCTGCATCAGCTAGAGATGTGATGGAGAAGCTAATAAACATCTATGATTCCAGTGAGAGCAGGGAACCCTGAAGGTACTGTGGTTTGTTTTCTGTTTCTTTTTCCTGGTTATTCATCAAAATATGTCTCCTACTCTTTTAACTTGGAGAAGCTCTAATGAAAACAGGACAAACTTAGAAGATGAAACAAACCGTGTTACTTTGTTCTTTGAAAAGAAGTTTGTTAGCAACCAAGTCTTATGTCTACCTTTTTTTTTTCTTTTTTTGGTTTTTTTTTTTTTTTTTTTTTTGTAGTGGTTCCCAAAAAAATAATGTGGCACAAGTGAATCACAAATACTCCTGACCTTTGTGTTAATGCAAGTCGTACTATTTATGAGGCCAGATACTGGAGACATGAATCCTGTGGTACGTAGTGGTAGTCTGCAGTCTCAGGCTTATTACTGTGTGAAAGAAACTATAATTCCATCTTCTAAAAGCAGTCTAATTCAGAGTTAAAAATATCTTCAGGACTGTGCATATCTGTATGTGTATGTGAAGATACTTTGCAGAGATCACAACAACCCCCCAACCCAAAATGTGCTTTAGAAGAGAAAGGCACAGTCTGGAGAATTACAGAAAGGGAGTGGGGAAGGGGAACTTCTGTTTCAAGCTTGGTTGCTTTAATACTCTAATACTGGAGGAAAAGGCAGCTGCTTCTATACACTGTTGAGAAGAGGAAAAAATATAATAAGAAACATCCATTAATTCCTCTTCAATCACTGTTCTTCAACCCAAGAGAAATACTGTTCTAAATACTGTTAACAGTCCAGCTGCTCAACTCAGAAGGTAAAGGTCTGTTCTGGGTTTTGAGTCCAAAAGTTCAAAGATGTCCAAAAGTGAATGCAGGTGGTTCTCCAGGGAAAAAAGTACATGTGGAGGTCCACTCATGCACTCAATGCATGATCAGGGTGGTTGTGTTCTTCCCAGCATGCATTTGCACAAAAAAGGGGCATTTTGGATGGGTTGAATTTTTACTCAGAAGAAAAATAGTGGTCTCCTCACTGACTTCTGTTTCTCTTAATTGGATTCAGATCACTGACCTTATCAACAATGTGTGCAAGGCACCTTGTCATTGACCTCAGCATTGCTTGTCTAAAACTTTGCATATCAGAAAAAAAATGTAAAGGAACAAAACATGGTTTTTATGACCCATATAATTTAACCTCTGATTTTATGCATATTAATACTGGTTTTTATAAAAAAGAACAGAGAGCACATGAATTAACAGAAGTTCATGAAAGGTGGAAAATATTATGTAAAAGGATGATCATACTTTGCTCTATTTTCAGCAGGTCTGATGGTGTCACTTCCTTTCATAGGAAACTGTCAAGTAGGCTGGTTTTGTTTATATAGCATTTCTTTATATTTCCATCATATGAAGCAGCTGCTTTAAAATCAAGTGAGAAATACCTTCCTTTCCCCACTTTGCTCTTTGGCATTCAGGAAATTTCTGTAGCTTCACTGCTGTCTAGACAGTAAGATCCACAGAGCAAGCAGTGGCATCATCTGTCTTTCAGAAGCAAAATGCGGTGGTGGGATGCAGACATCTGATGGGTTTTCATCCTATAGTAGCTACTTCTGCCACAAAATAAGAAACCCATGTGCTGAAGGATCTAAACTGATGATCATGCGTGCACAGTGAGGGGGACACCAGAAGGCTGTGCTGCTATTCTGTAAGACCAGAACAGGCTGTAGAGTTGGGTGGAAAGGAACTGAAAGAAGTTCAACAAGAGCAAGTGTAGAGTCCTACACCTGGGGAGGAATAACTGCATGCATCAGTCCAGGTTGGGGACTGACTTGCTGGAAAAGAACTCTCTGCTGAGGGACCTGGATGTGCTGGTGGGCAGCAGGTTGGCCTTGAGCCAGCAGTGTGCCCTGGTGGCCAAGAAGACCATTGGGATCCTGGGGTATATTACAAAGAACATAGCCAGCAGGTTGAGGGAGGTGATCCTCCCCCTTTCCTCCACCATGGTGAGGCCACATCTGGAGCACTGTGTCCAGTTTTGGGCTCCTCAGTTCAAGAAGGACAGCAAACTGCTGGAGAAAGGAGAAAGAACTGTGGGAGGCCACAGAGATCATTAGGGGCCTGCAGCATCACCTTTATGAGGAAGGGCTGAGAGATCTGGGGCTGTTCAGTCTGGGGAAGACAAGGCTGAGGGGATCTTATCAATACTTATAAATATCTGGTGGATGGGAGTCAAGAGGATGGGGCCAGACTCTTTTTGTTGCCCAGCGACAGGACAAGGGGCAACGGGCAAATAACTGGAACATGAGAAGTTCTAACTGAACATAAAGAAAAGCTTTTTCCTGTGGTGGTGACAGAGCACTGGAACCGGCTGCCCAGAAGGGCTACAGAGTCTCCTTCTCTGGAGATATTCAGAACAGGCATGGGCACTTTCATTTGCAACCTGCTGTAGGAACCTGCTTTTGCAGTGGAGTTGGACTCGATGATATCCAGAAGTCCCTTCCAAGCCCTAGAATTCAGTGGTTCTTGTGACAGAGTACAAACGACTTTCTTCCTATTAGTGACACTGTTGCAAGTATTGCTGCTTTGCCTTGTCAAAGGGTTTTTAATTTTGTACAACAGGAAAAAATATGAGGGAATTCCAACCTTTCATCAACTCTCTTTCAGTGGTTGCAGAATTACCCTATCGTAATTGGGACAGGTGCAAGTCAGCATGAAAGGCAGGAATGGTGTGCAGAGGTTGATAAGCTTAAAAATAAATAACTGGAGTTAACACAGAGTGGTTTTAGTTGTGATCCTCTTTTGACTAGGAAGGAATTAATTCCAGTACTAAAGTGCAGATTAAGTAACTGTCTGGAAATGGCATTTTCAGCACACTGACACAGCATTTTACTATGCAGACTAGATTGACACAAGGTACCAATCAAGGTTAACAAGATCAAAAAAAATCCAGTAAAATTCACCTTTCTGTGTGAAACTGAGGGAACTATTCAGTGGAGTGTATTTCCCTCTGTTCTTTCTTCTGTCTTCATAAATATAACAGCCTTAGGTACAGCATAAATATACACAGTCAATTTTATTGGAAAATAATTGACACACTTTTTTTATTGGTACAACACTTTCACCAAAGAGGGTTCTTAAATAAATACCACAAGCAAACAAACACCTAGGCTCTTTCTACCCAAAGCAATTGACTCATAGGGCTCCAGAATACTCATTCAGACAACACAGACTAAAACCCTTCTATATTGGTTTATGAAAGCAGAGTACATATGCAGAGTGTTTTCTTCAATTCTCCTCTGGAAGAAAACCATTCTGCAGTATAGGGAGAAGGAAAAAACTCATTGTAAGTAGAAAGCAGTACTGCATTTGACCTCAGGCAGACTGGGTGGTGACCTGTCACCCCACTGGTGATGAGCCTGCCCTGACATTTCCAGGTTTCTGCTCTGCTTAGTGAGATGTGCCTAAAAGCTGAGTGTCTGTAACACACTCTGTAGTGGGTTTCTTGGAAAGTCTAGTGCCTGCACAGCACAGGGCTTCCAAAGGTTTCTTAAAAACAATACCTGCTAACTACCTCAAATAAATACTTGGTCCTATGGTGCATATGGTGGAGGCTTTTCTCCAGGCAAGAAGTAAGTCGGTGCATAGAGGGGTGGAGCATTGGGGGGAAGACCGTAGCTGGAGCTGGACTGAGAGGGAGGCTGAGTATCTTCTGATAAAGAAATGTCAGTAGATGATTTTCCTGGAAAATTGCTGGCAGGCTGTATGTAGACAAAGAAAAATATTTTCTTCAATAAAGAATTATGACCCCCGTTTTGCAGCTCTTAGTTGTTTGTCAGTTAAGTCAGATAAGTATTATCAGGTAAGTATTATCCAGTATGGCCCATGGTTAATTTTCTCTTGCATTGCAGCACAGCACTCCGAACACCTGCATAAGGGTAGCAAATACAGTTTATAGTGAAAGAAGACAGATTCCATCTGTAACCCAAGTCATTTTTAATTGACATTGTGCATACAGCTAAGCAACAGAACAGGACAATAATTTCTGCAGGTTTCCTGGGTGAGGCATGGAACCCAACTGGCTGATTAAGTTATGTGCAGCTGCTAGTCTTCAGGCATCACTCTGACATGTAAGTTATCTCAGAGTTGTAATACTTGCTTAAATGCAGGGTCTTATTGCTATGCCAAATGCAGACTTCACTTACAAACAAATTAACAGTTAGGCATGTGTCTCCCTGTAGCTCTTTCAGCTGTCTCAGTTATTATGGGGCTTTGGCTGGAAAGAGGCATGACAGATGACCTTAGGAAACAGCCCATGCTGAGTAACAACCAGAGTTTGTTAAAACTTAAGGATGCATCCAGGAACTAAAGTTTTGGATACAATCCTACTACTACTTTAAGCCAAGTTTTGCCATTTATCACAAGAGGGTCAGGATTTCACTCCTCCCCTCACATGCCAGCACATGGCAGTCCATGGGCTTCATCAGAAGAGTTGTGCTCAGTTCCCCTCAGGTTCAGGCCTAAAGTGCCTGGAATTTAAAAAAAAAAATAAAAAAAATAGTAATCATGGATCTGTTATTTCAAGGGAAATGAAAAAATCCAAGCAAGAAAACAGTGCTGTCTTGGGTACTTACCATCTAGATAGTGATACCAGGGCTGATACTTTGCTGGTGGAACCTCAGAGCTACCCAGGGCTACCAGTCCCCATGCCACAGTACCCATCTAGCTTCTTTGTAGGACCTCAGGGGACTGCAAACTCCCATGGAGAGGAAAAGTCCTGCATTTGTACCACAGCGTGACTTAGTGAGAAAAGAGATTTTGCAGCAGGAAGGGTGTTTATGTACCGCCATTATCCAGGAGGCAGTGGAGGTAACACCCAAAGACCTGCTGGCTAGATCAGCTCCAAACATAGTTGTTGAGCTTAGTGTGGTTTGGTTTCTGGTTTGGTTTTGTTTTTGTTTTTTTGTAGCTGTTGCTTCTCTCACCCTTGAACTGCATCCACCGTTTCCACACATCTGTCTGGCAGTGCTTCTGTAATGAGTTCTTTGTTTGGCAGGCACGGCTGCCACAACCATACCACTGTCATCACCTCCAGCCTCCACACAGCTAATCATTTACCTGACCAGCTGGCAGCTCTCTGACTAAGACTGGTTGTGTCTGAGTTGTTCCAGTAAGGACTGAGTGATTTCGTTATCACATGCCACAGTAAAGAGCTGCTGATTACAACTTTGTCAAAATGCATTCCTGTTGTCTCTTTTTATTTGCATTTTCTGGTTTCTGCTTGTGGACAGACTGTGAGGTAAACTCAGCATTTACTAACACCCCAAAGAGTGATTTTTAATTATTTTTTTTAAGACTGTTCACCTTTCCAGCAAGCAGTTACTCAGCGAGATACTACAGAACACTAGGAACATATCACAGAATCACAAAACTGCCAAGGCTGGAAAAGACTTCCAAGATCATCTAGTCCAACTGTCCACTTACCACTTTCCCCACTAAACTAACCATACCTGATCAATTCTTAGGTGAACTCTTAGCTGAACGAATTTTGTTTCTTTTATTGCCCTGAGCCACCATGTGTGTGACCCTACCTTAACTGGAGCAGGTGCAAGTCAGCATGAAAAGCAGGAATGGTGTGCAGCCAAAGGGAATGCAGAGAAAGAAAGGTGCGTCTTAGGGTCTTCCTCACCAGTAACCTTAGGAAGGATACCGGAGGGGGAATGAGGACTGAAGATGAGTTGCCAGCCTCCAGTTGGGCTTCCCATGTGAGCTCAGCTCCTGGTGCTCAATGCTGAGGCCATCAGCACCACCTCTACCTGTGCAGGGCTTGCATGGCAAGGCTGCCCTGAGAGCGCTCCTGGGAGTTGGGGCTCTGTCATCCTCTGAGTCCCCAGCCGTGGTAATGTTACTAAGTACTGCCAAGGCAGAGGTGGATCCTGGTCTACTTGGAAGCAAAAATTTTACACCCAGGAGATGCTCATGGTTACCCTCTGAGGCTCCAAAAGTAAATGCAAGGCCTGTGTAGACCTTTGGCCATCAGATAGCTTTATGGCTGTCTGGCAAACCTGAGGCCATTTCAGATGTAATATCATTAGGCAACCCTGTCACAGCCATAAGATACAGGGTTCAGCCTTTAATTTTGATGTCTCCATTCAGGTCTCAATGACATCACCACCTAGGTGAACAGACTCACTCAGATGGAGTCTTCTACACTGCGGACATCTTCATTCTGCTGCCTGCACATCAGTGTCTAGCCCTTTTGGGGTGCCATGCAGCATGCCAGACATCCATACTGATATGGTATAGGGATGTTGAGACCTGGACTCTCTTAAAGCATCAGCAAGTACCAGGTGGCTACCTGGTCTCATCACACAGCACTAGATCTCAGCCAACGGCCCCTGCATTTAGTTACATTAATCACAGTAGTCCAGACTCGTCAATTGCCTTAAGGACCAGCACCAGCTAAGGAGGTCTTCTGGAGGTCTGAATGCAGCAGCAGGGCACTAACAAGGATTGTAAAGGCCTCCAGCCCTATGGGTTCAGCCCACAGCTCTCAATGGATGAGCATGTTATATGAGCATTTGGCTGTTCCAAATAAAGACTGTTTCTCACATTCACTTTTTTGTAACTTTGAGTAAGTTTATGATACCTCATAAATATTGCACTATATCGAAGCACAAATTGTCTCCAAAGTACAACATATTAGCTTATACATACACTAAGACTGTTTGCTTTTTTTTTTTTTTCTTTCTTCCAAGAAAAGGATTAAGTGCTTTCCCTTTTGGATGCCCTGCACTTCTTGCTAACCTCTCCTGACTTGGAGACAGCTGGTGATGTCCACCTCTGAGTGTCAGGAAGGGAAGATAAATAACACGCTTCTTAGAAAAAGCAGAAACTTGTGGTGGGGGGAAGTATTTAAGTGCTAGTTTTCGAATGCAATTAAGAATTTGGGATAAATATTTCTGTATGCCAGTGGACAAAGGACTGAGCAGTTGCAATCGATCCTCAGGACTACTTACATGCATTTTTTCAGCTTCATTGCTTGCTTTTGTCTGTTTGTCCCCTTCTCTCTTTACTCTTGGCTACATGCTAACTGAACTCTGCCGAACAGCACAGCTTTTCAGCTAAAAGCAAACAAAAAAAGATTTCTGTGTGTACTCTTTTTTTCCTCTGAACCAACAGTCTGCAAAAGTGCCTCCTCATTTTGTTAATAACTACAACGTGCCAAGGACTGTTCTTTGGCTGTGAAGCCAACTGGCACAGCACATATCACATCCCTACAGCTGAACTCTTACTACCAAAACAGTGTGAATGTCTGTATGCACACTTCCAATCTGGAATGGTCCACTGCTCTTGCTGTCTCCTGAGCCCTTCAAAAGATGTTGAGACTGTTAGGTGATCTGGACCAAACCCATATCAGGAGGGGGCTAGCAATTCACTGGTGTGGTTGGTCACTAGCTCTTAACAGATGTGGCCCAGGAGGCTGCAGATAGCTGCTCTACATCCCACTCATACTAAATATGCTGTACTTTCTATTGAGAGGAATTACAAAACGCTGTACCCACTGGTCTACAGGTACACAGCTTAAGTATAACTAGTCACTGGATGAACACATCAGCCTTATTGTAACTTAAAAATCTAAAAATGCTCACAGTTTTTCTAGTGTCTCAGTGCATTCAGCTATTTACCAACTCGCTTCTGTGTTCATCTCACTTTGTTCACTCTGTGCTGCATTGTCTGAGCACAGCCATGACCAGGACTGACACCTGTTGTGCCAGGCCCAACACTTTGCTATGGCCAGGAGTCAGCTCTGCAAGGGAAGGACAAAAGGGAGATACAGAAACCACCTTGCGCCTGCAGGGCATGTGTCATCCCCCAGAGCACAACCCAAACTCTGGTTAGGTACAGATGCCTAAATGTTGTGTAGTGGGAGATAGATGTGTCCAAAAAGATACATTTTAATAATTCTCACATTAAGCAGGGAGCCATTGTAGCATGGGCTACCTTCTACAACAGCCCTCTGAGGATGTGAGGCATCTGGCTTGTGGGACATACTGTCAAGACCCTCTGTGGAGGGAATTAGTTTTGCCTGTGCTCCACAGAGGGTCCCTGGCAGTAGGAATGGTGCATTTTCCACTGAAGCTATTTGATAGCCAGCTGGAATAGGAGCAGACTATGAAGGTTCAAACTCCTCTGGTAAAGAAGGGTCAAGAGGCCTCTTGCCACCAGGCGATGAGGGCAAAAAAAAATCAAACAACATCCTCAGTATCATTTACTGCATTTTCTAGGCCAGCTCTGGGCTGGACTCACCAGTGTTTAACAGCAGCTGAAGGACAACGTTCCTAACCCCTCATTTGTACTCTCACAACATTCCATGACATTGAATTTTCTTTGGCATCTAAAAACACTTCCTCTTTCTGGTTTGTTTTGCCACTAAAATCTGTACTGGTGCAACTAAAACTATCTGATGAGAAATTATTGCTAATATTCAGCCAAAACCCTTCCTATATCACTCAGTTTTTCAGACCTTTATTTGCTCCCCTCTCTTGGTTTCTTTCCATCTGATGAATCTTCATTTTCTGTTTCCCATACTAAAAATAATGCAGGCTAAGGTATATATAACTGATGCAGATGCCTCTGCTTCTGCTTTATCTAGCCCAGCATAAGAGCTGTTTTCACCTTTGTGACTGCTGCAATGCAGTTCTAATCCCACACTAGGATTTCAAGTCAATAGGCAGAGTTCACAGGATGACCAGAGAAAACGTGAGATCTGAGAACAAATATGAGAGCTAGACCTAGGCTCAATGATCTTGGAGGCACGTCTGTGAGTTGGGATCCAACCTCCTGGCCTTGCTCCAGACCCTTCACAAGCCAAGATTTACCACTGCAGAGATGGTACTGTGTAATGGCTCAAGGTTTTCTGATGGAGTAAAAAGGTTGCCATTTTGTACTATACCTGAAGGGGCAACGGGTAGGATGGATATGTAGAAATTGTTGCTGCAGAAGGACAAAATCCAGCATATGTCAGGATCTGCTGGGTAGGGTTGTACAGGATCTGAGGAGGTGGTGCGGCACTGAAAGCAATTTGGGACATAGGTACCTGTTGAGCATAGAAAAAAAACAATTTAATCAGCACCATGCAGAGGGGTCCGGAGCAGTAACTGGTCCCAACACTACAAATAACATCACATTTTAATAACTCCCGATTTCCCAGTGTGAACCAGTACTACAAAAAAATAAAAATAATTTTTAAAATGGTAAACAGAATGAGAGGAGGGTGTATCTGGAATAAATTTTTTGGCCAGAATTGCACGGCTATTTCAATTTTCTATCCTTGGAAAAAAGACAGCAGGTGCTTCCCTAGCAGCAGTTGCAGAAGCACTGGCAGGACTCCAGACCAGAGACACCCTGAAAAGTGCAGCATACAGCTTTGACTGCTTCCTCTTATCCACTCCTTCACACTTTGCTGCAGATTCTTTCCAGTAGCTACTACTGATGCCTCTCTCAGCTTTCCTACACAGTTCTGCAAAAACCGTTCTTTCCACAGCTCCCACTCATTTGTGAAATGGAGCTCTCTTCTGGCTCTGCAGCACCACCCCATGTATGCCTATCTCATTCCTGCTGCACAAAATCAAGAGAGATGCTCATTTGCATCAGAATTTAATTGACTCCTTTATCATATCTCATCACTCTATTGGCATGCCCCTTAACTGCAGTTTGTAATAATGTTTGCAGGAAGAAGTAGTAGCTCTCTGTATACCAACCAATGAAATTAGGAAGAAAAAAAAAAACCAAACACAAAACCCAACAAAAACAATAAGCAAAATGAAAAGCTGAATGTGACTGTGACTTGTCTTCCTAAAACCTTATGCTACATAACCATTTGCAAAGGATGACAGAGTTCTGCTTTGCAAATTGAGACAAACCCAGTGGTTTCTCTCCCCTCCTTTGTTTTTATTAGCAGATTCCTTTACATGAGAGCATGGAATTTTCTTTTATACGGTGATTGCAAGACAAATACTGAAAGCAGCAGCCAAGAGTTTTTTTGGCATTTCTTTTCAGACTTGACTTATCTGTGAGAGACATGAACAACAGCATCCTTCAGAGATAGCATACACGCTGTGATTGAGACAGGAGGGGTACATTCATTCTTTTTGCAGATGGAAAACATCATCTAGGTGACTCGTGTACTGCATGAAATTATCTGGCAGTCCAGGCTCTTTGGAGAAATTCAGCAGCTCAGGAGCTGGCACAGAGAAAGGCTGTCCCCAAAAGCAGAAGACCTATGCAAGTCTCTCATCTTCAAAATACAAAACATTTCCTTTTTACAAACCCTGATGAGTGTAGACAGTTGTTCCTTCTTCTTGGAACCTCTCTAAATCCTTTTATGTTTTCTCCAACTGTAGCACCAGCATTCTCCACTTGCTAGGGGTGAAGATTACAACAGTCCTAGGAGGTTTGCAGAGTCAATAACCCCAAATCCACTGATCAAGCATCAGTTTGGAGCCAGTGATGACTTGCAGGTATTGAGGCTGGTTAGATGCTGATATCAAGTATTCTAGTAGTGGTGCTATGATAAATCAGTCATGTGACATGCAAGGTGTTTTTGTTTCAACTGAGATAGAATTGCTTTTCTTCAGTGTCTGGCATGATGCTGTGTTTTGTTTGTAGGAGAAAAGCAATGCTGATAACACACCGTCATGTCAAGATGTTGCTGAGCTGTTGTGGAAAGCCAAGGCCATTCCTTTTCTCAGTTCCTACTAGCAAAGGGCTGGGGGCAAGAGATGAGCCAGGAGAGGAGAGAATCAGGCCAAAGTAATATTCCATACCATATGGCGTCATGTGAAAGGAGAGTTTTGAAGGCAATGGGAGCATCTCACTCACTTCCACTTGTTGGGGGTCTAGCTGGGCATCAGCTGAGGGGTGTTGAGCAATTGCTTGTACATCACTTGTTATATATACACATATGTATAATTGTCATGGCTATTATCTTTTTTTCCTCCTCCTCTTCTTCTCGATCTTAGTAAATAACTTTTATCTCAACTCAAGAGCTCTACTTTGTTTTTCTTTCCCATTCTCCCCTCTCCCAATCCCACTGAGAAGGGGGGAGTGAAAGAACGACTGTGTGATGCTGAGCCACCTGCTGGTTAAACCACAATACAAGGGTAGGCAGAGACATTTTAAATTGAAACAATTCATTTTAACATCAAAGTGCACCTTTTCTTGCAAGACATGAGGGTAAGGGAAGAATCATAGAATCATAGAATGGCTTAGGTTGAAAAGGACCACAATAGTCATCTACTTTCAAACACCCTGCTATGTGCAGGGTCAAAGAAGAAAAGGAGAAGGGTGACAGGAATGATATTATTTCATCTGCTCAGATTCCCTTAAAGACTCCAAGGAGAATAATTTAAAAAAATAAAAAAGAGCAAGAGACTCCTCCTGGACCAGAGGTCATTCAGATGAATGCAACCCTAAACTCAAGGCAGGCAGATTCCTTGGGAAGGTGTGTCAAGAAAACATTTCCAATCATCAGATGAATACCAGGGCAGGGAAGGGAGATGTTTTAGTTAACTCTTTATAATAGCAGGTAAAGTTTTTCATGCGCTTTTGTCAAAGATAAGAAATGATCAAGATATTTTATCATTTTTGGATACTTCTATTTACATTATGTCTTCATCTGCTGTTGTTAAAGAAGACTTTAAGGTAACTGCTTAGCCTGAGTCTCATATCCATGCACAAGGTAGACCTGAAAGGGAAAGTATTGACACAACTGCTGTGGATACTCCAGAAAATCACAGGAGACAGCCCTAGAGTGACACAGGGGCTACAGAGAGCTGATACACCAGGGCTCAGGAGAGGATAAAGTGATTCCCACTGGGTCAACACAGCTCTCTGGCACACAGCAAAGCCACAGGGAGCATGCCAGGGTCTGTAGAGAATGTGTCACAGGAAAGAAAACCGTAAGAATATTTATTTTCTATCAAAAATGTGATGGGTGTAGATACCCTGCAAACTCTCTCCTTCCAGAATGTTTTGGCTGCCAGCATTCCGCAAAGATAAACATGATGTTTTGTTGGAGTAGTTGGCCAGCCTTGTGTTTCCTGGAAGCCAACCTCAGAGCTCTGCCCTTAGGCATTGCACTGAGCTGCAAGTGACATCCTGAAAGAAAGACAATTGTCCTCTCACATGTTTTGAAGCCTTTTCTTATTTCAGTCCCATGCTCCCTTTTCTCCCTCTTAAGTTTGATGTTTTCTTGGCCCCCTACAAGTTACCTCTTTCATAATTAAAGCAAACAGCACATTAGCAAAGCTGATGTGGTCTGTACCTCAAAAGAACTCTGAAACAGCATAATCTGCAAGGAATAGTTATTTCATTTTGGATGGATCCTTTAGTAACTCTTTCAGGAACATAGTATGCATCCTCTGCTGGGCTGATCAACATAAATTCTCCTTAAGCTAGTGAGGTGTTTTTTCAGCTCTTGCTGTAGAGGAGATATTAAACAGCTTATTCAGATCAAGTTTCAACTTGGAGCCCCCTTCATTAGACCCTCTCCAGCTTGCTGTCCCTTAGGAGCTGCACAGTGATACCCCCTTGCAGCACTGAGATCTGCCTGGACTGGAGCTCATTCCCGCTACAAAGCTTCAGCCCAAATCCCATTTAAGCCTGGGCTGATGCAAGGCAGATTTAATGGGTGCAGTGTGGCTCTCCACACCTTTCCACATCTCAGGGAAACACTAATAGCCCTGGTTCAGAGTCCTAAGCAAGAAGCACTGAGAAAGCTTCTCTCAAGCAGCTGTAGCTGTTCACATCTAGCTAGCTGCAGTTTGCTACTAGCTCCTTGCGAAGGTCCCTTCATACAAAGGATGGTCAGTTGCACATTGATAACATGCAGAAATTCAGTATGATTGCTTGCCTTGAGTTAGAGAAAGGTGCAAACATTTGCAAACTTTTAGCAAAGGTGAATTTCACATAATCTATATGGCCCTACTGCGTGGTTTTAAGGCCCTTGTAAGCTTCTGCTGCCAGCTGGTTGCAAGGCAGCAGACAATAGGCAACTCTTTGGTGACACAGTGGCATAGGCTGCCCAGGGACAGTGTGGAGTCACTGTCCCTGAAGGTATTCAAGAACTGTGTGGATGTGGCACCAAGGGACATGGTTTAGTGGGCATAGTGGTGATAGGCTGATTGATGGTTGGTCTTAAAGGTCGTTTTCAACCTTAATGATTCTATAATTCTGCCCCATCCTGTTCCTTTCTTCTCAATCTGCTCCTGCACCAGGGTATCACAGAAGGGAGGGACTTGTTCTACAGAGGCAGAAGGATAGATAGTAGGGCTCACAGATGAACGGGCTGCCATCACAACATCCAGAACAGGAAGATTCAGCTGCCATCAGTTCTGAACTTTTGGTAGCTCACAGGTAACATGGCTGCAGAGCAACACAGGAAAACATCCTCTGAGATTCCTCCTACCCTGTGTAGCCACCCATTTTCCAGGGCTGCCTCACTATCTCCATCAAGGAGCAGTGACTTGCTGCTGCTAGTGAAAGATATTTTTATAAAGAGAGGATGCCTAGAGCACTTAACCGTCTGTCACTTCTGGCAGGTGATGCTCTAGAAATGCAGGAAGGCCACAAAGGGGATACTACTCCCTGCTTCATCTCTCTCTTCTTTCCTTTCATACTTCTTCTTAATTCTCTTCCATGTGAATAGTCACAAGAAATTTGTTGCTGCCACCAGCAGACATTTGCTGTTCTCACACAGCGCTTCTGCTCTTGAACTTCAGCCCTATCCCCACACCTTCACCTGCTCAGTTCAGAAGCCCTTTGGGTGGGGGATCACTTATGCTTCTGAGTGCCCATCCCATTGGCAGTCACTTCACTGGTCCATTTCTTCTCACATACAGCCTCTTCTGAAAGCAGCGGCATGTATCAGTGTAATACAGGGAGCAGTTAAAGAGAGGCAGTCTTCAGTGAAACAACAGAGGAGATTAATGTGACCTGAAAATAATTATTTGAATAAAAACTTGACAGGTCCTTCAGTGTTAATCCCTATTCTTGGGAAAACAAGTACATAAATCATCACACTAAGGACTTTACTTTTATGTTATCTACAAACTTGCAAGCTTTAACTCTGCTCTTGCTCACATGTTCAGTGCTGAATTAGAAGGAAAAAAAAGATGTCAGAAATGAAGCACCAGCATCTGTTCATGCAGACGCCTGTTTTTCCCGTTCCACTCATGTATTGACCAGACCTGACCTACTTAGCTGTGAGCAGCTGGCAACTGCTTAGCCTAAATATGTGGCTCCAGACTCCCAGACCACACATGAAACATGTTTAAAGTGCCTCTTTTGTGTACTTAATGCTTGGTTTTTAACTCACTTGATAACATCAACAAGCACAGAAGTCATTACAGAAGGCAAAAAACGATAAGCCTTACCATGTCTTTAAATGCTCCAAGAATGGCTGCTGTGATGATCCCCAGAAACAACCCGATGATGTTCAGGACTGTGGAGGACCACAGCAGCCTATACAGGTGAACCACATCCTGACAGCTGCTCACGCCAAGAAATTCATAGTAGCTGGAGGACTGCTCTGAGCTGAAAGGGAATGCAGACAGCGTCACTGCTGTGTTTTGCACAAAACAAAGAGAACCAGAGGATCTGAATCCCTCCTGCTTACTTTTCTCTCTGGCAAAGTACTTAATCCACACTCCCACCTATGAATGTTAACAGTGCTTGGATGAACTGAAGAAAGCTCTGCTTGGCTAAAATAACCATTAGACATTTCGCAGAATCACAGAATGGCCAGGGTTGGAAGGGAATTCAAGGACCATGAATCTCCAACCCCCCTGCCACATGCAGGGCCACCAACCTCCCCATTTAATATTAGACCAGGCTGCCCAGGGTCCCATTCAATCTGGCCTTGAACACCTCCAGGGATGGAGGGAACATTTAGTTCTACAAATACCAACTCTAGTTAAGCTGATCAGTGTTGGCACAAGCAAGGTATCCTAATTCTTTGCTGAGGGCCTCTGAACAGAAAGGTAACCTGGTTACGGGTGCTGCCCTTGCCATTTAGATACTAGCTCAACACAGCTCTGTTTACCAGTTCACCTGGAAATCTGCTGGCATCTCTGTCAAGTTGCTCCAGCATTAATTCAACCACAGGAAAGGAGACTTTGCAGCTGACCACATTTGTTTATGGTGTCTGCAGTTCCAAACTAACAGATGCTACAAAGTACAGTATAAAGATGTGCCTTCAAACTATGTACTATACTACCCAGAAGTTTGCTTGTTTTTATTTGTACACTGCAATGGTTATTGTAGACCAGGCATACTGTGGAGTCAATCCTCATTGCCTTGCTGAAATTGAGAAATGTTTTACTGCAAAACCTGAAAACAATGTCCTGTTATTGTTCTCAGCACCTGCCCTAGTGCTGGGCAAAAGCAACTCTTTCATGCATAAATCTTGTGAATTACCTCATATTGCCAGACTCATTGTCATACACTGAAATCCTACGTCTGTAGCATGCTGGTCAAAGCTGACAGAGGACTGAGGCTACTCAGGGCAGGTTATATGTGAAAAGAAGAAAAAAAGTACACGACAGAACAGGAGACATGGGAAGGAAGAAAGATGTGAAATACACAGAGGAAAAGAAAGAAGAGGAAGTCTGTGTGAACTGTAGATGGTTACAGAGGCATGGTAAGTGCATGATAAGGTGATCCTGAGCTGTGTGGAGAATGAATGCGGCAGAAGATGCATTCCAGGAAATTCTCTTTGGCTTCTTGTATGTGGCAACTCATGATGCTGCTTGCCATTGGAATCTACATTGCAGGTGGCCAGCCAGTTGTGTCAGTTCATTCCATTTCTGTTCCCCTTTATAAACCTCTGGACTTGGCTGTGATGTAGTTTTCCTAACCACCACCGTAATCCTGGTAAATGACTGCATGGCAACTCTGTGGTAGCCTTCTGCTGATCTTTGTAAGGATATCCAGATGTTTCCTCCCTTCTTCTCTCCTGGCTTCTCATGCTTCAGTAATGATGAAGTCATACAGACAGCTTCAGGAAACACTCACAAGACCCTCTGTATCTATCCTATGGCAACTCAGTAAAATCCCATGCATACAGAAGCTATTACTAACAAAAAAGTTCTGCATTTGCCTGCAGTGTGATCTCTATATATGGCCACTTGTGTTTCTATTCATTTTGTTTTCCCCATTTTGGTAGAAGAAACGATTAATTAAACCTAGTGAGAAAACTGCATTGCAAAATCACCAGTAAATCTTGACAGAGCTATGACAGAGTGGTTGGATTTGATCACGCAGCAAAGAGCTTATTGATATACTTTAGAAAAATGACTACAACAACAGATAACACCTGAGTCCTGCCCATGACATCTGGATACCAGTGACCAAGAAACTGACTTACTCAGCATGCAAGACCCCTGCTTTGCTTCTCCAAACCTAATGGGAAATGTTCCCATCACTGATGAGGAAGGACAAACAACGAGGGATTTCTCAGAGGCCATTGACTGCACACAGGTACTTACTTCTCACAGTTGTACAGGTCACAGCAATAGCACGTGTTACTCTTTACTTTCAGCTGGCACTTGGTGTTTAAGGTGTAACATGTCACCTGCCCAAAAAGAAGAGACCAACTTTTAATCTCAGTGTTTCAGTGCAACGTACAAGTCACCATACTGACCCCCAAGATTCAGGTACTGCAGTGCACTTACTGTTAAGCAGGATGGCGTTCCAGGGCACAGCAAAGTTTTCAGTCACTGTTACAGTGCTCCACACTACTTTGCTAAAACCTGAGTTCACAGCGATCCCTAAAGCAGTGACACAGTGACAATGTGTCCTGGGAGACACACTATGGTAAGCCACTGCATATAAAATCCTTTCTAGTGGGGAAATGGACAAAAAGGCCAGTTTTTAGAAAATGGGAGCTCTTGCCTGTCAGTAACATCCTCCCAAGGAAAGGAAATAATTAAGAACAACAGCAACGATCTCCAAACCCACAAATAAAATCACTCACAGAAGATCCAAGCACTCCAGCAAATAACTAACATTCACAGCAGATTCCTGAATATAAAGCCTAAAATATTTATTTTGCAGGCTCCTGAATATAAAGACGAAAAGATTTATTTCTGTGAGCAGGAACTGCATGGACTGGGTTAGTACAATAAAGGTAGACACACATAAGCCAATCTCAATCTAAACAAGTAATCCTTTTAATGAATCCTTAAATATGGTAAGTATGTATCTTCTATTTGGCTCTACAGACCAACTGAAATATTTTACATCCAAGGCTTTCTCTTTTTCTTTTTCCTGAAATTTTTAGTTTGCGTTTGAAATCCTAGAGAACTGTTATGTTTTAAAAGCCAGCAGGACAGAAAATACATTTTTTCTATGGTTTTTGACAGAAAAAAAAAAAAAAAGCTGTAACAGCTGAGAAGTATTTTGTTTGCAAAATGCATATAAAATGCATTACTGAATGGAAAATTCCTCATAATGATAGAGCAGAAATACCTTGCTTAGGTAGCTTTTGAGAAGTTTCTGTCAGACAGTTCCTCTCATTTCTGCTTAGCCATGAATATGTTCTTTTATGAGACAGTCTTCACAAATGTTACCCCATGTTTCTCAGCTCCTGAGGTTTGGATCTACGCATCTTTCTTAGTGTGAAAACTGCCATTGTCAATGAGCCTGTGGTCCTCATGTGTTTGCTCCTGACAGAAAGGAAGATCTTATGCAACTATCAGCACCAGAGAAAGTTCACCTTGCTGCTGATCTCAGACTTGCCAACTTGTGCTTAGCACCGTTTATTTCAACAGTGAAGTTAGAAGGAGGATAAAACTAAAAGGAAGACAAAACGATGCCTTGGGATTGCTTTGCTGCCCAGGACAAGGCTAAATGTATGGTTAGCCTCCAGAACAAACCAGCTGTTCTAATCCAAAATGGAAGTTAGATTATGAAAGGATGGTTCCAATTTGAATTGCAATCATATGTCAGTGGCTATCTCAGATTAATCGAGATCCTCCTCAGAAGTAACTGAAATATCACATGGCTATTTCTCGAAGCATTTTGAAAACTGATCCTGGAGTAGACCCTACCAATGTATCTGCTACCCAGGCCATTTTGTTTGAAGGCTCTAATATTTTTGCACTGAAGGAACACAAGACTTTGGCTTTCAGCCTCTGTCCACAGACAAAATGGCCTAGGACTCACACAGCTAAAATACTCTTGTTCCATCACACGTGTGGTTGGGAACAGAGTATATTGTAAGATGGAGAGGGCTGCTAAAATGTGGCTTTTTTTTTTTCTGATACATGGCTTTGGGGATCATTTCTGATAGAAGAAAAGTAGTAATTTTTTTCTGATAGAAAAAAAGAGAGTTCCCCTCTCCAGTTTGCCCCTTCTAACTGTGGAAGGCTAGAAGGATGAAAGAAGGAGATTGGCAAGATCTTGGACACAGAATCACAGAACGATTTTGAGGTTTCAAAATGTATTAAATTTTTGTCTAAGGGAGTTATTTTAGTTGTCTATTTTTGTCACTGAATTTTAAAATATGCATAGAGCAAGACAATCCTTTTTAGGAGATCAGTGGATAAACCAAAATAAACAAATTTCTGTGTGGTGTGAGCAAGGGTGGAAAACAGGCCACTTGTGGGTATCTTGCATGTCAAGGCCTATTTTTCCATTTCGGTGACCAGACATTTAACTTTTTCATATTCTGGCTGTTTTTGACTGTCTATCCTTCAGCACAATTCAAGAGAAATTCCCACCTCATAGAGATTGCAAGAAAATCTAATCACTTTTTGCTTTGAGCAAATAAAAGAAATATTACCACCCGACTCCATGAGCTGGAGACCACTCAGAAGCTAGAGATGGCAATCAAAAGGAAACTCACTCTCAGAAAACAATCTGTCTTCCTGGTTTGGTGTTTGCCTGGAATGTAGAGCATTCTCCTGCTGGCTAACTTCAGGAAAGCAAAAGCCAAGTTCAAATGCCACAGATTAGTAACTGAATTAGCACATGCTGACTCCAGCTCGGTAGACAACCAGACAAGAATGTTATTACAAACTAACCACACTTTTAAAAAGATATGTCCATAGGGGACTTTTTGTTAGAATAGAGAAAGGAGTTCAGGACAGCCCAAACTGAGACATTTCTAATACATGCAGAGCTAAGAAAATCTGTCCAGGCAGAAGACTGAGGCTGGGGTCACCTGCAGGGAGTTGAGGTCAGAATGACCTGAGCTACACACTTATCAGAGGAATCAGAGGCACTATATGGGATGTGTCTCTGCCTGGATGTGCATTGACATGTTGGAAGTTTGTCAGGGTAGCTCTTGAAGCAAGGAGGTCAATGAAACATTTTTGTCATGTATTGTCTGGAAACAACAGCAAGGTGCCCTAGCAACAAGATTTAAGTAATATTAACTTCTTAGGTTAGTAATAGACTTTGCTAACCTACCTAGAATTATTAACAGTAGCATTCCCAGTACCCCTTTTCACAATCACAGGACAAATGAATATAGGGCTTCTTGTGAGTTTGTTCTCTATCCTGCTCTGCCTGATTTCCTTTTCACTCCCAAAAAATTTACCATAATATTAAAATGAATAATAGGAAAGGAAACTAAATCTGGATTTCTCCAGAGGCTAACCCTTTGGGTATAAGCACTGTTCATATCATTTTAATATCCTTGAGACAATAAAAACTGCACACAAACCACTGACATTCTTGGCCTGAGCAGGATAAATACAGAGAATACTTGAAGTCTTCTGGACATTGCAGGTCAACAAAAACCTCCTCAGAGAAAGTCAGTGTGATAAAAACATTTCAGACATCTCTTATACAATATATATGATAATCATTCCAATCCCAGAGTAGTGTGTTGAATACAAACACTGATGATGACTCAAAATCTTACTGATTGTAATGATTTGCAAACATCAGAGCCCAGGCAGATGGGGGACCACTTATGGGAGGGAAAAACAGTTGGGTTACCATCAACCTACATGCACAGAGACACTCTCAAATGATTGACTTCCTCCTCCTCAGCTCCTTGAAACACAAGAGGAATGAACATACGAAGAAGCAAATTTGTTTACCTCTGTTTGGTAGGCATCATATAGGAATCCTACTCCACTTGAATAAAACTGGCATCTTCTGTTATACAAAGGTCTAGGTTCCTGTGAAGAGAAAAAAATATCCAGAAAAGCACTCAGTCTGGAGGAAGTTTGAAAGCACTGTGTCTTATATCCCCGTGCCGGATGTTTACAGCTCAATGAAGCTGGAACCAAAGCAGACATTTGGGTAAGCAGCTCACACACTCTGGTATTGGCTTCTTTCTGTAAAAGATCTCCTCAGTGTTACATTTTTCTTCCTCAGTTTGCCACTAAGCTATGTGACTATCATTTAATTTTCACCGTCCCTGTCAATTATCTTGAGAGGACATCGCCTGGGATTAAAATACTTCCTTCCCCAGTGTCAAACAGCACTACTATGTGAGAATGGTCCAGTCACTTCTTTGCCTGGTACAGTTTCTTACCCAGCACAAAGAATTACTTTACCGTATGTCTTCAAGATACATGACTTTCTTTTAAGGGATTTCAGCAATGCCCATAGTGAAACAAGGTAGAATACCTGACACTTTAAGCATTCCATTTACTTCATTCACTTCAAAACCACCAAACAAAACAAAACAGAAAAAAAAAAAAAAAAAAAAAAAAAAAAAAAGAATTATGAAGAAATGAAAGCATTCAGGGGAAGTACTTCACAATAAATTTGTTTTTGTCTTCTTTTCCATTTATGCTTATTGTAAAAGGTATATTTGCTGCTGTTTTGCCTGTGACAGTTCCCACAAGCTGATACAAAGGAGGTACACAATGAAATATCCTTGGCTAGATGAAAGATGCGTGTTTCTGAACTTGGCAAAAGGCCACGTGAAGGCTAGAGGGTGCATGCCTCAGCCAGTTTCAGGACAAGTACATATTTGCCTAGGGAGCATTTCGCAGCTGAAAAGTTCTGTGTGATCTGGTATATATCTCAAACCAAAGTGTGAGAATGACTTGTGTTATTATAAAATAATTTTTCAACTTTTTGACACTTATCTAGTCCCAAGTCATGATCTGGACCTTCAAAGCACTCAAATGCCATCATCACTGTCAGTCACATCACTTCCAAGAGAGAAGATGGCATCTCACTATCTGCTGTTTCCTCTTTCCATGCTAACTTTCAAGCAAAAGATCACTTTGGTTTTTAGCCAAATTAGTGTCTGTTAACTTTCACTGCATCAGCCTGGGCATTAAAGCTTTTTGACTCATTCACAACCAAGCTAGGAATTGCAGAAAGAGCTATGCTCGTTATGATCACTTCTCAGTATTCTGTGTTTATTAGATAATGAAGTGTGAACTGTATAAATCTGCTGACCCAAAATACATATCAGTAAAAATGCAGAGCTAGGCAAGAATGCAGAGAGGTCAATGAATAAAGTTCATCCAACAACATGTTGGCTTCTCTGATTACTCTAGCAAACCTAAGAAAGTTTGGATACCATTTCCTAAGGGTTAGGGAAAGATTAATTTCCTGCATCCAAAAATATTTATATCACACAAGTGTAAGAAAAAATGCGTTAGTAACTATTATTTTCTCAAGAGGAAATGTAAACACCACACAAACAGCACAATGTGTCTTGAGCTAGGACAGCATTCTTCCACAGGCCTGGAAAAGCATCAACCCTTAGCTATGACTTCCAGGGACAGATCTGACTGGTAGAGCTAACAGGATTGCAATTTCTCAACACGCACAGCAAGCACAGGATCAGCCAAAGGCCACACTGTACTTTTCTCTTCACAGAGTGTCATCCTCCAGCACTGATTCATCTGTTGTTTGGGGATGAAATAGGGGTGATATGGGAGAAGAGTGAGCATTTCAAATAGCTTTTTCTAGCATGAGAAGCAAATCCATGAAACAAGATGTCCATCATATCCACAACATTAACAACCTTCTGTTTTATCCTGGAAGATCCTGGAAGTGAGACATGGTCAAAGGCATGGGGAACCAGATGGCATTCTCCTCAGCCCTGCTGATCAGAAAAAATTGAGAGCTGGATGGATCTAGAGGGTCAACAACTAGTACATTTGGTATATTGGCAAAAGGAATTTCACTTTTATGGCCAGTATCTAAGTGGAGGCTACAAGAAAAAAGGGGATGGACACTTTCGTGGGGTCTGCTGTGATAGGACAAGGGGAAATAATTTCAAACTAAAAGAAGGGAAATGTAGATTGGATGTAAGAAAAAATGTTTTTATCACAATGAGAGTGGTGAGGCACTGGAACAGGGAACTGGAACAGATACACTGTATTTCTTGCCCTTGGAGACATTAAAAGTCTGGGGCTCTGAGCAATTTCATTTAGCTGTTGGTGCAGGGGAGTTACAGAATCACAGAATTGCAAGGTTGGAAACGACCTGCAAGATCTAGTCCAACCACCCTCCCATTCCTATTAGTACCACAAGCTACTAAACCATATCTCAAGTTGGACTAGATGACATTTAAAGGTCCCTTCCAACTCAAATGTTCTGTGATATCTCTACATCTTAACAAAAAACAGTGAGAAAGCTGTCTAATCAGCATCCATCAACTGTTGGAAGACCATCTCCCTAGCCTAATCTCTTGGCTCACATAGATTTACTACTCTTTACATCTTCTTCCTCTTATTTAAAGAAAAATATATTTTTTAAAGGTCCTTTTATTTATGTGGTCTTTGATGGAGAAAGCAGTTTTTATCCATGGGTGCTTGTGAAGTGCTAGAAGCAGCACTGTCCCTAAAAGAGAGATGATTGATTAAGCCACGCCAGCTATTATTGCTTCATATTGCCATGCACCAAAAACATCAGAGCTGTGTTATGGAAGGAACCACTGTGAATACAATTGATATATCTACATGCACAGTCATAGCAAGTGTGTACATTTTCATTCACCCAATTTTGAAAAGCAGGCCCTGTGCTCTGCTATAGGCAGCTTTCTATGTCCAGCCTTTTCTTCTAAATACATCTGTATATGCAGTCAATCTGGTCATTCCAAATCAAAACAAATGAGTGATGGTAGGGTGTGTAAAAATAACAAAGTTAGATAATATTTTTTTTTACGCAGGCATTTGCAGAACTCAATACCTGAAGTATGCAGTTTTTAAATATGGGCAAATTCAGGGTGCTGAACTGCTGAACTGTTATAGGATTCGATTTGATTTCCAAGTCACAGAAGTCACAGAACCAGTCCTTGGTTCTGCTGCTTACAGCAACACCGGTAGCGACAGAGCTATTTTTCTATTCTGTTTATGTATTTAAGTGCACACACACACACACACACATGCTATTAACAGTGGCTTTGAAGTACATAGCAATAATATCCTATTATATCCCTACTTATTTTTGTATTTAAATAAATGCTGTATTAAACAACATTTTCTGAACTTAAACTGACAGCAATCTGATTACATCTGCCTGTTATGCATAGACACACTCATCCATAAAGTAAAAATGGTATCTGTATATAACAAAAAGATCTGAGTATGCAGACACAAAAGAGAAAATGACTATCACTTTCATAGACACCAATAAACAAATTCAAGCACGCAGCTATGTTTCTGTACAGACTTCTCCCTCTTTTGGCCAACCTGTTGGTATTTTTCCACTACATAACATCAGTGGAGCTCCAATTAGCAGATCTTAAAATTTTTAGTTGTGTCAAAAAAAAAATCTGGATAGCCAGTAATTCTCTTAATTGCAGGCAAATCAGAATTCCTCAGAATAGAACCCTACGGATGAAAATAGCTATCCCTGATCTTTTTACATGGTTTTTATCTCCACATTTTGAATGCATGTGTACTAGAATCTGTGAATGATGAACAGACAGGTAAGAGGAAAGGCTTCACACCAAGTAAGATAAGATTCAGCCCAAATATAGAGGGTTTTAGTTTTGCTGGCTACATATACCAATTAAAAAAAAGCAACACATTTCCTTGATAGTGAGAGCACTGCAATACATCACTTGCGTAAGGAGAAGAAGGAGAGTACTCTGAATAATATCTTTGATGAATTTGACCTTATGTCTTTGGAGGATGGTTTTGTGTAGCTTTTAACTGAGGTATGGAAAGTACATATTTCTACTCCTGTTTTTGTTTCCTTGGAGAGCACGTATTTTGGATAACACAGGGAAAATTCCACCTCCTTTACCTATATGCTGCTTTCTGAAAATGGAGACGTAGCGTAAATGGTATTGACTGAAATCTGTGCCACACTTTACAGACATGAAACATAATTTGCTTAATAATTTACTGAAATAATTATATAGTGAGGGCTATTTTTTTCCAATTGCAGTATTTATTTCATGTTAGCTTCCCTGGCTACATCAATAGAAGTGTACATTAAAGAATGCCAGGAGTCATTCCCAGGCCTGAAACTTGATTATCCAGCCCATTAGGTTGTTAGAATTGTGCCTGTGATAGCTTTGGCTTGGGCAAGCTGTCAGTCTTCCAAAATAACTTTGGTGCCTGGTTTGAAATAGCGTGGGCCAACAACCATTCCCAATAAGCAGTTTGGACATTGCCACTCCGTTTGTCACTCTAAGAGATGTAACAGTAATGACTTGAGCTTTTCCACACCAGTTGCCACGGGGACCAGAAAACGGATCCAGGCACAACAGAAAGATTAATAAAAATAAAACTGAGCAGTCTAAAATCAGACTAATGTTTTTAGTGGCTCATTAACTTGAAGTGTTTTATTTTCTACTTGTTTTTCTCTATTACATTTTTGTAAGTCTTTTTTAATCTACAGCATAGATGGCAGCGAATATCCGATGATTTGCCAAGATTTTTCAAGTTTAATCCTAAAAGCAAACTGAAGCACAATTCTTCAGCGCCAGCTCAGCCTTGTGCCAGCAGCTCAGTGTTCCAGAGATTATCACTCCTTTCAAGATCAGGCTCTCTGTGAACTTTATGAAAGCAGACATGCAGGTATGAACAAAGAGGTATTCTTGGCAACCAGCTTTTATGCTTTTCTAGAGAGACAGATGAAAAGGTGACATGGTTTAGTGGGCATGGTGATAATGGCTTGGTGGTTGGACCAGGTGGTCTTCGTGGCCTTTTCCAACCTTACTGATTCTATGAAGCATAGGTATCTGCCTCTCACT